TTGTCGCGATGAACAATGTTGCCCGCCGAGCCAGGCGGCCGCAGACGGGCGGACTGGAGGGGGGCGCCACTAACTTGTCACACACGTAACATCAGAACGCAACACAACACAAAGTGCCCTTCGTTTCTACAGCACTTAAAACAAACATATTTATTTTCCTAAGAATATCTGCTCCAAAATCCACTTTTGCTGCTCCGAAACACTGTCTTGGCTGCTCCAAAAGCCGCTTTTGCTGCTCCCAAACACTGTTTTGGTTGCTCCAAAGGCCACATTTGCTGCTCCAAAACACTGTTTTGGTTGCTCCGGAACGTGCACCAAAATGGCTGCCAATCACATCACTGCAATTTATTTTATGTTAGATGAAAAATAAAGCTAATCTGAGGAAAGTCCTTCTTTCACCAGACTAGTACACTTCTCTCTCAAGTGTGTCACACATTTTGAAAGAAATGGGTGACTTTTGCTTGGCGCAGCCTTTTAACGGCGGTTCGGACGGACGTTGCGAGGGTTCAGGATTGCTAACCCTAATCACTTTTCTCCGGTGATGAAAACGCGTGAAAATTCGCATCCTTTATATGGTACGCGCCAGTAATACCTTGAACTTGAGCGCAAGCATGAAATGCTCCAAATAAGTAAGAAATCCAGGCGATGTTCGAAGACGCAAACGTTTAGAAAGCACCACTGTAGTCGAACTAAACAAACACGACGACACGGGCGTTTCTGCTGTCTTGAGAGTGCCGCCACGACATCGCCGCACGGGTAGGTGGATCTTCCCTTCTAGTATGTGCTGGGTTATCATAGTGACACACGACGAAAATTCACAGTCAAGGATAGCGCTTTTACGCGGAACGATGAGCTTCCACCACACCGTCCATGTCGACGATCACCACCGACGCCATGTTTGCAGATAGAAGAAGTCGGCCCGCGACCGGCGTGCAACGCGCGCAACCAGTTCTTCTCGACCTATGATTGGTCTGTCGTTGCGGTTGTTTCCAACGCAGCGGGGGAAAGTTGGGCTCGCTCCAAATCATTGTATTGTAATAGACGTGCATGCATCCCTCCGTCGCTATGGCAACTGAAGCCTCTCTCTTTGCTTCTCGTCGCTTCGAGTAACCTCCTTGCCATCCTTGCCCCCGCAAGTGCCGCTTGCGGCTGGCGCCGTTATCTAGTGTCGCACAGGGAAGCGCGCTCGCTGCGCCGGTTGTGGGCGGGTTGTTCCAGAAGCCGCTCTATAACCGGTATTTCCCTTCGCGTTTGCATTTTAAGCGCTATGTAATTACATGGAGTTTTATGGGAGGCAAACTGGTGGTTGAAAAAAGCCGTGTTATACTCGTTTCTGCACTATAAGCGGTTACGTTGTAAGTGGTTTATACTGTACAGGAGTTTCATACTCAAAGAAGTACAGAAGGAAAAGATTAGAGGGGTAGTCTGTTCTCATGGACCGTGTTTTCCATGTTTATGAAATTGTTGTGGTCATATTTGTCACCTTTCGATGAAGGAATGTGGTCCCATTCCTTACTCGAATGGCAGGTAAAAACGTCCAGATGTTTTCTTGGAAAGCGTGTCTCTTTATGCATGCATACTCGCCGCATATGACAAAGGCTTATGTGGAGAAAGTGCACCGCGTAATTGAGATTTTGGTCACACTTAAAAATATTCCCCGCGTGTTCTGAATTCATCTGCCGTTTATTGCTGGTGCAATTAAGCATACAGCTTCTGTTCATTTGTTGGTTTTGCACATAAAGCCTTTAAATTTACCTACTTTACGCATATCGTAATATACCAGAAGAGCACCCAGTCATACCGGAGAAAATGGGGTGTGATAAAGGCACAGATACTTTTTTGGTTCAATCAACTGAAAGAAACTTTCAAACAGGGACTACAGTCGAACCTCGATATAACGAACTTCAATGTAACGAAATCCTCGATTTAACGAAGTATTTTATTTTTCATAATTTCTTGCCCATAGGCCCCATGTATTTTTAGTCTCTATATAACGAAGTCTATTTTGCTGCTATTTCAATATAACGAAGTGCCATTGCCATAGAAGGCAATAAATAAATCAACTCTAAAAAACAACTTTGCAAAAAAAAAATTATGCGCAAACGCGAGCGCTTGATAGGTTACTTCACGGGGACAGGCCTTCCAACGTTCCTATAGGCTGCCCGAGGATGCGGCGCCGGTAGCGCCGGCGAGGCATGCGGCAAAGCGGATTCCGCGGGGCTGGCCAGAAAATGCCGAGCAAAAAGTTAACACGGCATAACAGCATCACCACTGACATTCACTGATCATCATAGTCCACTGTACCGCGGGTAGCGCGGGAGCCAACTTCAGCGGCGGAGCGACATGATGGCGCGACCGCGCGACCGCACGGGCAGTGCCATCTAGGAGAAGACCGATTATCGTCTTGCCATCTAGGAGAAGACCGATTATCGTCTTGTGCAAGCACACTGTGGGCGCAAGGGGCGCAAGAGGGCAAGTAAACTTAAGTAAACTGTGCGGTCAGGAGTGCTGTGTAGGTTGGAAACATTGGCACCGCCTAAACTAAACAGCTTTATTTTTCAACCGGGCGGTTCACTCACGTGCTTGCGGGCATAAGGAAACGTAAAGTTCTTTCTTTGGATGAGAAAGCAAACGTTTTGGACGCCATCCTGAAGAAACTGCCGAGATCACGAGCACTCGGGAAGTGCTCGACGCAATGGACCTACTGAGGAGGTACACGGCGTCGCATAGGCAGCAAGATGCCGTGCAAGCGCTCTGGGCGCTCGAATGCCGTATGACGCCGCTGCTACTGTCGGACAAGGCGCAAGCAAAACTCGCGGACTACTTTGCCCCAAAATAAATGTCATTTTCGGTGAGTTTTCATACCCGTAAAATGTTTCGGAATTTTTTTTTTTTCGCATGCTAAAGCCAAATTTTGATTTAGCGAAATTTCAATGTAACGAAGTAAATTGCGAATTTTACCGACTTCGTTACATCGAGGTTTAACTGTATATGCAAGTCAAGCGCACTTGATTAAAAAAGTACTGAAAATCAAAAATACGAAGTATACAATATTTGTAGGAATCCCATTTGCACCCCATTAATTGGCATGAAAAAGTTTTATATCAAAAATTTAATTTCCGCAGAGGCCACAAATAAATCTTTACATCTACCCACCAATCATTCCAGTCCGAGCTTGGCGTTCTGACGTCCCTGCGCACCCTTGTCTCCTCCTCTCTCTCAGTTTTTGGTGCATTGCCCGTCCAATCTGCAAACGCATAAAAAAGATGGGCCACCGACCAGCCGAAATCTATCGTGCGGATGCTACAAGTCGCTGGAGCCGATCCAGCACTGAGAGGACTTTACTGTTCGGTTTTACCTCGCTATTCCCGGAGCCCTAGCTCATGTGGTGAGAAATTGGCTGGGGTAGTTATTCAGGAATAGCTAGCTGCATCGGCCGCCATCATACAGACGATTGCAAGCGGGGCATCTGGCCATCTCCGCGTCTCTGCTCGAGCGAGCGAGCACGTGCAGTTGCGAGCCTGGGAAAGGTGCCTTCACGCGCATGGCGCACATGCTTGCATGCACGGGGCACCGGCAGGAATGCCGCTCTTGCAATCGTCTATACTCGTGAAAAGAAAAGGAAGGCGTGCAGCAGCACTGGCGAGGCATTTCGCATTGCCACGGCACACTACGTCATACGTGCATTGTCTCAGAACCATTCTCTGGATGGCAATGAAATCTCACAGTTGGAAAAGCCAGTCAAAGAGCTGCCTGTAGCAGCAGACGCTGTGCAAACGGCAGTGAACAGCCCGTGGCCCGAGCCCACCCTGAGCGCCCGACCCGCATGCGCTGCTGCGTGCAACTCGTTTGTTTCTGAAAGATTCTATGCCATCTACGAGGAAAAGGCTACAAAAAACTCGCAGGGTTTCTTATGTTATCCCTTAGACAACCTGAAGGCGAAAGCCGAAGCGCCGACGCATTAAAGACGGACACACGATTTGCTTAATTTACTTTTATTCCTCTTAATTTGCTTTGTCATCCTTCTTAAATTCATTGCCTCTAATTCTCCTGAGTGGCCATGTAAATGTGATAGCGAACCTCCGAAGGCACTGTGCTCTCTGACGACGCACTTTTGGCTCTGTTAATCTCACGGCATGTTGCACGCCCGCTCTTCACCGCTGCTTGAGCGAGAGTGTCCTCCTCCCCGCTGAATTTGTGCCGTGCACACGCCTCCGCCGATTCTGGCACAAGTGACGCCATCTCGTGGTCCAGCGACGAACCGTGGGTTTTGGTGTTCTTGCTCAAGGACTGAACGATGAGACATATAAGGCTTCCGTCTTAATAAATCATGGGCAAATCCCTCTGAGAAAATAAGAAAATTAAGCGTGTCTCGATTCTGTCTGATGAACTCGGAGGTGCGCAGAATCTGTTGCAAATGAGCTAGGCATATGAGGATTGTGTGTGTGACATAATAGTCACGTGATGTCAAGGTGTCACGATGTCAGGCTGTCGTGTAACGTGCCGCACGATGTCGCGGTGTCCTGCGACACCCTGACGTCAAGGTCATATAAGCAGTATAGCCCCATCGGGCTACATTGCTTATGTAACCTTGACCTGCGTGTCGATCGAGCGGAACGCTCGAGCGTAAAGCATTGATTTTCTCATAAAACGCAGCCCTATAACACAGTCTGTGTTAAAAGTGAATGCGGTGGGACTGTAGGCTAGTGAAAGAAGTGGGACGTGTGTGTTTTTAAGTTAAAGCAAGCATACAGGCTCAGGGAGCAAGTTAAAGCAAGCATGTACAGGCCCAGGGAGCAAGTTAAAGTGAGCATACTGGCTCAGAGAGCTAGTTAAAGCATGCATAGATGCTCATGGTCAGGCGGGACAAGCGCAAGAGCAAAGCTTCAGAAATAGTTGAGTTCAGAGCCTTGCGTTTGTCCCGTCCTTCCTTGCACTCTCTGGCTTTGCTTCGGGGCTTACGCGACTCCTCCGTTCCTCTCCTCCCTTCTCCCAAACAGCTGGCCGACAGCATTGTGAGCAAGGGCCGGGAGACCCTGGAGCGCGCCATCAAGACAGTCGAGGCCACCTCCCGCTGGGGCGGGCAAGTCATCTACGGCGACACTGACAGGTGAGTGCGACTTTGCCGTCATCCATGCTTTGGTCCACCGTAACTCGGCAGAGGGCGAACCCCACGGCTCCTTCGAGTCGGTTGGAGCGACGGAGGCAGAGCACGCGACTGCCCTTACCAAAGGTACCGGGGTGAGGGCGTAGCCCGAGCGTTCGGAGAAGAGAGGAAGGAGGAACATCGCCCTTACCCTCCTTTGCCTGCCCCGGACGTTGCTCTTGTCCCCCTCGGAGGTTAGCCCGTCACTCGAAATTCATACAAAAGAGACTCTCCTATCTCTCCCGCCCGTGGCTTTGACGGTACTGCGCACAACTAGCGAGATAGAGTGCAGTCGCGCGTCTTTCTCCGACGTGCCGATAGGCTCGCCAAGACCATAGCCTTCGTCATTTGCCGAGTTACGGTGAGACGGAGTATGAGTGTTGCAATCTCGAAGTTTGTGTCTTGTCTTTTTTAACTGAATGAACCAGACCGAAGGGAGATGCTGGTCTTGAAGAGTGCGACTGTATTTTTGTAGGAAATGTCGTCACTTAAAACTACTGCTTAGCGTATACTTGAACGAAGCAAAAATGGATGACTGGGTATTTGTATCTGCCGTATCTCATTTCACAAAGGTCGGATCACGCTTCAAAAATTAAAGAATGCAGCTGTAGTAACGATGCTTTCAAGTACTCATTCGCTTAGACTGCTTTCGAATGACTCGTATTTAAATGTGACAGCATTTCTTTGAACATTTATTACAATTTTACTGGGGTTTTAATCCAAATGATGTGGCTTTTGTCACGATTGTCTATACTCTCACGGAAGGGTAATTTTTTAAAAATGATTTATATAGTTAAAAAAGGAGGATTCAGAGGTTTCAATTCTTAGTTATTGAGGAAAAATAGTATTTAACGTGATCTTGATAAACCATGTGTAGAGTGCAAATACAATGTAAAATCAAGCTTTTTCTAAAAATGAGAACGCTGTTTAAATGCTGATGATCAGCATAAAGTAGAAATGAATAGCTAGAATGAGTCCTGGTTGCAAAGCATCCAAGTGGGATTGCTCTGACGAAGGATGAGGTCGGACTATTTAGGTCGATTTATCTTTGGTTATGGCTGGCTAACTGTTGTCACGTCCTCCGTGCAGCATGTTCGTGCTCCTCCAAGGCAAGACCAAGGAACAGGCATTCCAGATTGGGCAGGAAATTGCAGAGGTGGTAACTGCCCAGAACCCCAAGCCTATCAAACTTAAATTTGAAAAGGTTAGTGGGATTCCTAATTTTTGCACACTATGTGGCGGAGGTTATCCAGCCAGCAATGAAGAATGCACAAAAAAAAATAAAGTACATCTAGCAGCTGCAAAGGCCATGTGGATTGCCGCACAGTTCTGTGGCGAGCTCTCACCACTTTCAGCTTGCACTCTCAAAGAGAGTTTTCTCGTTTATTGTAATACAAAAATGTTTGGTTCAATTTCTTTTTTTTTTTACATATTTGAATTTGAAATAAAATGTTATAGTTGGTAAGGCATTACTTGCAGATATACTCTGTGCCAGTGCATCAGTTCCATTGTCACCAGCAGCCAGCTTCTGCCATTCTGAACTTTTGTTTACTTCGGGTCGTGCAACTGTGGTAGCTCAAAACTGGGTATGACCCAGATGCGTTTCCTGAGGGAAAAGAGGTTCGTGGTCGCCACTTTCCAATGCAGTAGGGGTTCCCAGACTTGTTCATTGTAAGGAGCCCCTATCTCTCCATGAATGGCAGCCGAGGAATCTTTCCTGGTCTTGGCACTGATGTAACACAGCGGGGCACAAGCTTTCAGGCCTTGTGAACAATAATGCTTACAATAGGGTGTGCTCATCTCGTAGTCACAAATGCGTCTTAGGTGTGTTAAAATAGTGGTTAAGATGGAAAAAACACTTTAGTTGTGAGTAGGGACAGTTGAGGAAATTTGGGAGCCCAAGGAGTCTGTGAGGTTGTCCTGGGGAACCGCTAGCTTCCTGGGTACCCAGTTTTGAGAACCTACATAGTGCACCATACCACTGCATATCTATGACCGTGGCAGTGCCTGTCAATGTGTGACAAGCGGTGTGGGCGGGCCGTCCGGTGTCCTCTCTGTTTTGACCGCACAGTGTTGAGCTGGAGCAATCCTTCCGATTGTGGAGCCAAACGTGGCTAGCGCAATCCACTTCGGGATCCCCTCCCAACCAGAGCTTTGCTTGCTGCCTTCTTTTAGGTCAGGAAATCCCACGCCGGATTCCCGGGAACCCAAAGGTCTGTTGGGTCACGTTCCCAAGTTGTAGTCCAGCAAACCGTCTGGCGGGCTTTTGCCAGAATTCAGTTGAACCCTTCTCTGGTACTTCGTGGAAAGTAGCTCCAGATTTAGAACGATAGTTAGCAATTTGTTTAACCTGAAAAGTACTCACCTCGCTTGTTCTATGACTCTGCGGAAAAAGGTGATAAAACGTTGGTCACAAAAGTAATTGGTTCCTAGGGATTCATTTAGTCGAACTGTGTGTTGCACATCTGGGGTTCTAAACCTATTGACCTCGAGAAATGTCTGTCTGCCTCGAATGACAGCCAAGGAAGCCCTGTGCACCTTTTTAATTTTTTAAATTTTGAGCAGTACAGAGGTTTATAGTCTTCATTAACAATGACATATATGCTGGGACATTTTTGCACATAAATGAACATGAGTGCGTGACTTCTGTAAAATACCGAGCAAGCGCACGACAAAAATTTAGAGACAATCGCAAAAAGATAGGGGATGGGCGCTTGTCTGGTCATCAATTTTACATATAAATCTGCCATGCGCATTTTCTTAGATCTTAAAAATTTGTGAATGGGCGCTTAATGTGGAATGGGCGGATGCGGGGTATTCTACGGTAAACATGCTAAAATATTGACGAAACTGGAAAAACACTTTACCAGAGGTAGGGACATTTAAAGGGGCCCTCCGGAGCTTTCTGCGATCGTCTGTTTATGTTGTTATATTGCGTAGTAGGTGCAAGTCAATATGTATACAATGTTTTAGATTACAAAACCGTTTATTAAGGAGATGGCAGTAGAAATATATCGGGACTATTTTCTCTTGGAAGACAATCCCCCATTCCCTGCCCATCGCTAAAACTTGACCAATGGAAATTCTGCATCTCGCGGTGAATGCGAACGTTATTATTGCAACACTTTTTAAGCTTGTTGTAAATTAGAGTTTGAGAAAAACGTAAAGTGATTGTGGTGCGGGAAACATAGTCCGCAATTATCGCTCCAAAACCAGCGAACTATGTTTTCTCCCCGCAAGCTGGTTGCTAGGGGGTGATACGTCGACTCGTCTGCTTCCCGGGGCGTCTGCAGGCGTGCGTTTGCGGGACGCGTGTTCCTTCTTTTCGTGGATCCCGACTCCGAAGCCAGCTTTGCGATCCTTCCACGTCAACGAGTCAAACTTTTCCTTGTCATCTGTGGAATGCGACTGCGTATTGCAGTAGCAGCGCGACGGTGCAGTGTGACGAACGACGACTGCCGAGCACAAAGTCCGGGTCCCTTGACGACGGTCCGCGCGTGTTCGAGAGATTCCTCCGCGGGTCGGCGGTCGGCCGCGTTGGTGACGCGCAGTGACGGCGGAATCCTTCGCTTGCTATTGGCTGACGCGTAAAGAGATGGCCCTCCCGTTTTCTGGGGTCATCTCAGAAAGGGGGGCGTGCCGGGGACTTTGATAGAAAATTTTAATAGGAAAATCCGCCACGCATGACAGTAATTTTATGATTTTTAGGATCCTTAGGGCCTGTAGATTGAGTTACCGCCATAAATAGACCATCGCAGAACGCTCCGGAGGGCCCCTTTAAGAGGTATCGGGTGCTCGAAGAACTCTAGAGGGTACTCTTGGGAACCCCCTTGATTCTGAAGGGTACTCTGTGATGGGGACGTGCCGTACGAGCCCACTCTCATTTGTTACTGCCATAATCACATTGCTGCCAACCACAGCATCCACATTCTTTACGACCGACGTGTCTAACGTGTCTACCGGTAAGTGGCTTTCTCGGAAGATAGCGCATGATGGGTTCCCGCTCGAGGCTTCGTTCAGAAATTCTTCCCCGCCCTAGGCCGGGTTCTTTTTCACCGCCAAAATGGCGGGACCCCGGAGCGTCTCACGTTAACCACAGCGGAAGATCCCCGGTGCCAGGGACGCGTCTTTGACCGGTGCCTTCGCTGCGTTCCCATTTGTGGCCCTTTGATTTCCACCCAACGATGTTGCACTCGGGTCGTGCCACTGCCCGTCATGATCCCGGTGGCGGCACGGCAGCGGAGGTGGGTGTGACAGGCGCCCTAGGACATTCTCCATCCTGACCATGACATCCGATGGCATGACCAGCTGGCTCCTGCGACATACTAATTTGTCACCATTTTCGGACCATTTTTCGGCGTGCTTGTGGTGTAGGACGGTAAACGCACCAGTCAAAAACACTTGCCAGGCACCATGTTCGGCACTTGCTGCCACTGGCAGCAAGTGCCGAGCTGCCGACGCTTGCCATCGGCACTTGAGGTGCACATTACCAACGCGCGCGCACGTTACTGATGGATGTGCATGGTTACTGACGCACATGGATAGTTACTGACACATGCGCATAGTTACTGATGCATGTGCACATACTAACACACACACATAATTACTGATGCACGTGCGTAGTTACTGACACGCGCATAATTACCGATGCATGTGCATGTTACTGACGCATGCACAGTTACTCATGCACCTGCGCATTGCTGACAAATGCACATAGTAGTTACTGACACACTGCACATTACCGATGCACACACATACTGCTTGTGCACGTGCGCATTACTAATGCACACGTATAGTTACTGATGCCCATTCATGTTGCTGATGCACGCGCATAGTTATTGACACGTGCATAGTTACTGATTCACGTGCGCATTACTGACGTACACACACAGTTACTGCCGCACCTGCATGTTCCTGACGAACGCGCATTGTAGCTACCAACGAACGTGCACATTACTGACACATGCACATACTTACATACACACCCGTGTAGTTACCAACTCATGCGCACGTTACCATACCTCGGCGAACCTCACTCATGAGGACCCTCACTCACCCTCATCTTCACAGGTGAGGTGAGGGTAAGTGAGTTTCTGAACCAGGAAAATTCATGAGTGTGAGGGTGAGTGAGGGCTGTGAGTGCGTGAGGGGTGTGAGGGCCATGAGTGCGTGAGGGGCGTGAAGACGGTGAGTGGCATGAGTGCGTGAGGCGTGTGAGGGCGGTGAGTGCGTGAGGGCGGTGAGTGCGTAGTTGCATGTGGGGTGTAAGGGCCTTGAGGGTGGTGAGTTTCGTGAAGGCCATGAGTGCATGAGGGGCGTGAGGGCAGTGAGTGCGTGAGGCCACCTTCAGACGGAGCAACTTTCTCAGCACTTTCAGTGTTGATGGCGGGTTATTCCCTAGCTTCCCTAGATCGACTCGAATTTCTGAGATCAGGTCCAGCTCGAAACAAGCGAGCAACTCGAAGCAATTCGAAGACGTTTGAAGCGGCTGCCTCCAATCAGGGACGCGATATCTTCACGTGATACCTCGTGCCAGTGATGATAACGACAAAAGACTTGGTTCTGGTTTGAAATTTATCGTTTTTTAAAGTAAACTGTTTCAGAAAGATGCATTAGCATTCTCAACAAGATTTAAATGCATAAGAACACGTTTATAGCGCGTAATTGTGTGTCTAAAGAGTGCAAGCAGAATGAAATTTCATGATGATGATGGCAAATTGCAGCAATTGGTTGCTGCGTGTGAACACGGGCGGCCTGTGTTGCTCGCGTTGCGACGTCAAGTTGCTGGGCGAAATTGCCCCATCTGAAGCGGGCCTGAGTGGCGTGAGGGCCATGAGTGCGTGAGGGCCGTGAGGGCGGTGAGTGCGTGAGGGGTGTGAGGGCCATGAGTGCCTGAGGGCAGTGAGTGGCGTGAGGGTGGCGAGTGTGTGAGGGGCGTGAGGGCCATGTGTGAGTTGAGGAGCGTGAGGGCGGTGAGTGGCATGAGGGCCACGAGTGCATGAGGGCGGTGAGGGCAATGAGTGCGTGAGGGCCGTGAAGTTCAGTGAGGGTGAGTGAAGGGCTGAAGGTGAGTGTGACTGTGAGGATGAGGGTGAGTGAGGGGCTGAAGGTGAGTGTAGCTGTGAGGGTGAGGGAGAGTGAGGGGCTTAGGTGAGTGTGGTTGTGACGGTGAGGGTGAGTGAGGGCGACCTAAAATGCCGACCTTTGCACGTTACTGACACACGCGCATGGTTGCTGGTGCACATGCACATTACTGACGCAGGAACATAGTTACTGAAGCACGTGCTCGAGGTACACGAGAGGCCGTTGCGCCATTGGAGGTAGGAAGCTCTTGCCGGAGGTGGGACAGCTGCACCTCCTCCCTGTCGTCCTCAAATTGTCAATGACTGTAGAGCGTCTTGCCTCGCGCCTTCTGTGCCCAGGTGTACCTGCCGTGTGTCCTCCAAACCAAGAAGCGCTACGTCGGCTTCTCCTACGAGTCCCCCGACCAGACGGAACCTACTTACGACGCCAAGGGGATTGAGACCGTTCGGAGGGACACCTGCCCCGCCGTCTCAAAGGTCAGCCCATGCGATACCAGGGTGTTCTTTCTCGGGTTCGAAACCTGTTTCGGGAGAGAATTCCTGTTGAAGGCCGACGGGTGACCAGAAAGGAGGAAACTCTGCCTCGATTCTTTCTTTCTGTTGGAGAGAGAGGGAGACCTTCCTCCTTTCTACAGGGAGTAGCTCAGAGACCTGCTCCTGTGGGAAGAGGAGGAGAGAAGAGTGCATAGTTAGAAGGAAACTGGGAGCCAGTTTTCTTCCCGGCAGAAGACGATTCTGTTGGTCGGCCTTTGAAATGGAAAGTGTTGTAATTGCAGAGCTGCAAGAAGAAGAATTTTGCTTCAAAGTGAACTATAATAACTAGAACAGAGACGCACATACTATCTGCTGTTGTTTTCGTGTTTATAATTTTACAAACTACGGCAGGAAACATATGTTTTTTTTTCAACCCGCCAAGTTCAGAATTTTCTAGTTTTTGGATTATATTTTTTGCCACATGTACGATTTAAAACTCTATTTTCTTTTCAAAATGGTTTCTGTTCTGTTTCTCTGACGGAGACTATAGGGCCTTTCAGCGCAATAGCTTCTGCAGTTTTTTCTTTGTTTTTATAATTTAGGAGCAGTTTCATGCGATCAGCTCACTTAAAATTTGTTGTCTCCTTTATATGTGCTTGTTATAGTAAAAGCATTCTTTTTTTAAGTGGAGCTACTATAAGTTTACTTTGTAGCATTATTGTGCAATTTATATTAGTGGTTTCGACGTTCACATGCCCCTACGTGTCTGCGATTGAGTGCATTTGTGTGTATGTTTTGCAGCTGCTGGAAAAGTCTCTCCGTCTGCTGTTTGCCGCGGGGGAAGTGGCTCCCGTGAAGAACTACCTCAAGCTGCAGTTCTCCAAGATGCTCTCTGAGCAAGTCAACCTGCAGGACTTCATCTTTGCCAAGGAGTTCAGGGGCCTGAGTGGCTACAAGCCTGGCGCCTGCGTGCCCGCACTGGAAATTGCCAGGTGCGTTTACCATCTGCTTCTGAAGAGCACATAGTTTTAACGCAGAACATGTTTTAGGGCTGGGTTTCACGAGTAAAGCGTCGCCTTACACCCTATCATTCCACGCGACAGACACAGGAGTCAAGGTCACGTAAGCAGTATACAGTAGGACCTCGTCAATACATCCCCGGATGATAGGATTTCCCGCCTTATACGTTCGCAATTGGCACCTTGGGGAATGTCCCGTAGAGTTGCACCATTTTTAATGTGAAAGTATAAACTGTCCCAGAGAGCAAAGCCGGCGGCGCCTGTAACCGCGAAAAACAAGACCTACCGTATTTACTCGAATGTAACGCGACCACGGTTATAACGGGAATAATGACTTTCCACAGCGCCAAAAAAAAACATAAATGTAACGCAAGTAAAGTGAGGGAAAAAGTACCGTATTTTCCGGACTATAGTCTGCACCCGGTGTATAGTCCGCAGAGGCAAATTTGGGGTCAAAAATGAAAGTTTTTGCTTAGAAGTCCGCACCCGCTGCATAGTCCGCACCCGCTGCATAGTCCGCACCCGCTGCATAGTCCGCACCCAGCGCATAGTTCGCACCTGGTGCTTAGTCGACACGAAATTCTTCTCATACGCGGCACACCTTGACATATGTATGTTTTCTTAGCTCTCAAAAAAAGCCTATAATATACATAAATTATCAATAACATACTCTTTTATTCACAAAATCCGTCCCGTCTCGTCATAATCAACGATATTGAAAAACATTAGTCCGCACGCGTGGATAGTCTGCACAGCCAGAAATTTCAACTTTTAAACATGTATAGTCCGCGGACTATAACCCGAAAAATATGGTACCTTTATTTGTTGCAGATAGCACATGCTCAATTACGAACTTCGTCACTTTTTTTTCAAGTTCTGTGTGACTGCCACAACAAGGTCCGCGGAAGCCTTTTCGGCCAGGCTCACGCTTGAAGAGCGCTTCACGCTGGAGCCTCCACCCACGGACAGTCGATTCTGTCCCATCTAGCTGTTGAGCTGCGGCAGAGTTTCCGATTTCCTCAGCCATCAGAATTGCGCTCCTTTTAAAAAACACATGCAAAGGAAAAAAAAAATTTTTTTAGACAGCTTAGATGGAAAAAGGATGTCATAAAACGATTTTACAACGAAGAAACAAAATTTTTAGAGCTATATTTACGGCGCTATACGAATTTGTAGTTGGCGCTCGCGGGAGCCGCCGCTGGTCACGTGGTAGGCCCGCGCGCCGCCGCGCTGCGTCGCCGCCGCACGCTGAGCGTTGTGCGAACGCCGCTTCAACGCGTTTCTCCACGCCGCCGTCGCCGCCGCCGCACAAGTTCGTCTGCTTCGGGGCGCTGCCGCCGTCGTCTGACCGGCGCACAGGTCTATCACGTCTGCTTGCGCTTTTTCAGGAGTTTCCTTTGGGCTCTAAAAGTTACTTATTCGTCTTGGTTTTTTGTTATACTTCAAACAAAGATGAATAAGTTACTTTTAGAGGCCATAGGAAGCTTCCGAAAGAGCGCAAGCACCACGTGATAAATAAAGACCAGTCACGTGATAAATACAGACCACTTTTCCGCGGTGCCCGCGGGCGCCAACTACAAATTCGTTTTGCGCCGTAAATATAGCTCTAAAAATTTTTTTTCTTCGTTGTAAAATCGTTTTATGGCGTCCTTTTCCATCTAAGCCGTTTAAAAAAAAATGTTTTTTTCCTTTGCATGTGTCCTTTAAAGCGGGCATCGTACCGAGCTGCGGAGGCGCGGTAGCCATGGCACCAAAGGGAGAAGAAGCATTGCGGCCAATGGTAGTTGCACGCTCCCTCGTGCGCGTGGTTTGACCAATTGCGGCTCCACAATCGCGAGGCAGAAAAATGGCGATCACTCCGAAACTTAGCGGCCGCCATTTTGAAGGGCGGCAAAAAAGTTAAAAAAAAAAAAAGAATGCTGCTTAAAAACGAGACAAATATGTTTGCCATCTGCCAAGTTGTTCATGGACAGCAACTGCTCAAAGTCTGTCTCGACTGTGGCTGCTGCGCAATTTTGAAACCGCCGAGACCTCATAAATATTTTTTCTTACATGTTTTCTCGGTTAGTTAGGTGCTGGTATTCTATGAAATATAGAACCTAAGAAATGTGGGTTACCAAAAAACAAACGTTTTTGCAAATTTTTGGGTTTCAAGGTTAGCGTCTTCCATCAAGTTCCGATCATCCAATTTCCCATATAATAAGTTTTCTTTCCCGCATTTTTTTATAAGCTTATCAACGAGGTTCTACTGTAGTGCCATAGAGGCTATGTTGTTTATATGATCTCTGCGTCACGGTGTCTTGAGCACTTTGACGTCAGCTGACACCATGACATCCCACGACGCCCGAACTTGACTTTAGAGTGTCTGATTTCAGCAAGGAATAAAGTCTTTCGAGTGCTATAGCATTTACGAGCGAACCCTGTGCACCTTTGTGTCAGTCTTATTGTGTGTAACTAACGAAATGAATGCTCAAGTGCAGGAGAGTGATAAAGTGATGAATTAAGAAGAACAATAAAAAAACTTTCAGCCTTTCCACTCTGGTGAAGTAGGAAGAGCAGCGGAGCTGTAGCTTCTGTTCTCGGCGGTGGCTTTCCAGGCGAGCGATCTGCTCTTCTTTCGCAAAGGAATCTGAAGCGCTCAACGAAGTAGTACTTAAGGCTCTAGCGGCTTCGCGGCCATTGCTGAACCATTCATGCTGCTCTGCACAACGCCATCGCTCATAGATGATGACACGGAACTCTGGACAGCTACCGTCATCTATGAGCAACAACGGCAACCAGCCGGTTGTCTGGTTGCCGCCGTCACTCATAGATGGCGGTAGCTATCCAGAGTTTGGTGTGATCATATCTTGGCTGGTGGACACAATCCTGGGGAAACTAGCCCTTAACATCTCCGCTGTAAAATTTTTGCTGTCACCCAAGGGGAATCGAATCCACAATGCCGAGATTGCAGCCCGTTGCTTGACCATTGCATCAAGGGGGAGACCCGTGAAGTGGCAGTTATTAGATGCAACTTTTTTTTTTTTGCCAACCGACTCCGTGGAACGGGCAAGTAGCGAGAGAAGCATTTTATATTTGTTGTAAGGATACAACAGGAGTCGTTGGTTGGTCATGGGAGGCCCGTCTGTGGGAAGTGGACAGTGAGATCAGAAAATTAGGTTAATCTGTTTTAAACGCCATGAAAGACTTCACGGACGTTGCCAAAGAATATTTTTAGTATTTCCTCAGCGGTTCCTAAACCAATAAAGAAACATTTATGCGGTACAAAACGGTGTAGAATGCTCCTGCATTTAGCATCAATCTCTGCAACACTTTCGGCGACGATTTGTTCTACAAAGACTCTCGGCGAGTGTTCAGGGAGTCTCAACCGCATTGCTGCGCCCTCCTAGCAACTTTCTGTGACGCCCTAGACTCGGAAACCGAGTCTTAAAAGGCGTCCTGCGTCGACGCGAGCCAACCGACATTCCTGCCCGACGCAGGCGCATGGTGCGCAAGGACCCACGGCTGGAGCCCCGGGTGGGGGAGCGGGTGCCCTACGTGGTGGTGTACGGCTCTCCGGGCCTGCGGCTGATCCAGCTGGTGCGGCACCCGCTGGAGGTGCTCTCGGACCCATCCCTGCGCCTCAATGTGCACTACTACGTCACCCGGGCCGTGGGGCCCGCCCTCAACCGGGTGCTCGGTCTGGTCGGCCAGGACGCCCTGCAGTGGTGGGTCGGACGCTCGGCTCCGTAGCCCGTCCTCGCAAACCTACCTTCCTTCGTTTCTTTGCGTGCATGTCTGTTCAACGCTTCAATTCAGAATTACGTTCCGCGGAAGCTGACTTGGAATTCTTGCGACTCCAATATTTGTACTTTACGAAATGTTGACAGTTGCAAGCTAACCCCGTCGGGTGCACTTCTTACCGAGTGCTGGTACACAACAGAGAAGCAGCCAAGCCTGAGGCAGGCATTGTTCCTCCACAGTGCACTGACGCGCTCGTCGAGAATCGTGCTCCACGGGGCTAACTAGCTGCAATCGACACTTCAAAAAGTGTCGATCGCAACTCTACCTTTCGTTCGGACGTGCCTTTGACGGGAGTGCTTGGTGTCCAAATCTGCCCACGCATCAAAGCTAGCGTGTCACACCGTTGGACGTCGCAATCCTGGCGGTCAGTCGTAGAAGTCGCGGCAAAAGGGACAATCGGAGGCGGGTGCCGCTGCCGTCGCGGCGTCCCAACTTTTGACTGCGGAAGTTTCCACGGTCTGTTAATCTGAAGGGTGACCTACGGCAGAATGGGCGTCTGCTGCGTTCATCTCTGCCGCCGCGCCACCGCCAGGATCGCGACTGGCAACGGCAAGGCGAGGGCGTGATGTCACGAGTCAAAATTCGAGGGACCACAAACGAGCATACGCTAAACACATTGGTCAGAGACCCATTCCAGGCACCGCCTTGACGCCGAGGTCACCGAGATACCGGCAACTCAAAGGGGTTCTCCCCGATATAGTGCGCTAATGCATTACAGCGTGGTATTACTTAGAGCAAAAGCTCGAACTTGAGACATTGCGAGCTTGGTTCCCGTTTATTTATTACATTGATACTGTGACAACCGTTTATAACGAAGTCGGTTATGACGAAATAGTGGCCATAGCTAAGCAATCACAATTTAGCATCCTGTTTGCGCTTTTTCGACATATTTGGGTCTGTTTTTAGCGAAGAAAAATAGCGGTTTCCGTTGATTTAGCGAAGAAAAATTTCCTGATAATTTCAAAAACAATTCAATTCGGAAAGTTTACCAAATAGCAGACTGCCACACTTTGCTGCCACGGCCGAGTAGCCACCGGGAATGGACCGCAGACGTGCCCTGCAAAAGCCACTGGCGGCAGCTTCTGCATTTTCCTGTGTTCCCCGCCCCTTATCTGGGAAACAACTTTTCCGCATCGCACGGGGGGGAAGCCGTCGTGGCGTGCCAATTGGGGCGTTCGAAGCGTCAGCGATGACATACCTATAGACATTTTTCACAGGAGCGCCGCCATCTTGAATTGTCGTCACTTCCAGTATGGGCGACGCCAAAATAGTAAAACGTTTCAACCTGTAACCAGTTAAAAAATAGAGTGGAGCCAAAACGAGAAGGTGTGACGGTTAGGCTTATATCCTAAATGTCTTCTATTGGCGTGGTGACGGCAAAGTAATGTTTTCGCCCATACTGGAAGTGACGACAATTCAAGATGGCGGCGCCCTTGTGGAAAAGGTCTATAGATACCGACGGAGAGAGCCTAGACTTGAGAGGGGGAACAACACCGACTGTTTAGAGCATTTTCAACGATGGACGCCTCTCAGACAGATTGGCGCAAGCGTGCACGCATTTTGTTGTCTCGCGGCTGGCATGGCGAGGAAGTCGGGCGTAGGGAGCGGACACGCTTGCACACGGTGAACACTTTTGACTCCTCGCAAGCTGCAGCTCGTTTTGCAAACGTGGCTCACAAACCACGTGACCCCGATCAAGCAGTTGCCCTTTCTCTTAAATCTAGGCTCCATACCGACGAAGCACGAAGTTGAGTGCAAACTTGCTGCTGTGTGTGCATCTTTGTTCGCTTCATCTTCCGTGTCGGCGTCGCTGGTCGGTGTGGTCGCTTTCTGCGCGAGTCTAGCTTCGCTCAAGCACCGATTCAGCGACTCATCGCCATTTTTTAATGATGGCGAGTCCCGACTTCGTCGGCACCTTGACGGGGAAAACGAGCAATTTCCTTGAAACGAAAGCGTCCCGCCATCCTCCACGAAGTGCGCATAAACATAAAGAATGCAGTCCACCGCTGGCGTCCTCCGTGGCTGCCGTCGCAGCTGTCAACACGGTCCGAATGTAGCTTGCAGGATCTTTTTTCGATGAGAGCTTCTCGCAGTTCGGGAGAAGCGGCTTCGATCTAACAGAAAGCACGGGCAGGGAAGTCTCGAGCGCTTTCTGCAGGTACGGTAACATGTGCCCGTGGCGGCTCGTGTTACCTTCTTTTTCTTTTTTTTTTTTTTGCGTGTTACTTTCATGGAGTCCAGATATAACAAAGAGGTGGATATAGCAAAGCAATTTCAGATTTCCTTTGACTTCGTTATAACCGATCTCGACTGTAAATGTTATGGGCTCTTACCACCCCTGGAAATGACGTCCGTTGTTGTTGTTGTACTTCTTTATGTTGTAGTTGTAGTTGTTCATGTCGTAGTTGGCATAGTAGGGTATCTGTCTTTGATGTTTTAATACTCTAAAAAGATTGCCCGCCGCCTGCGGGAATTGAACCTGCGTTCGCTGCGTACGAAGCGGTGGCGTTACCACAGAGCTATGCCACGGCGTTAACGACCCACTTGCCCTAAAGTCTCGTAACGGCATATCTTCTGAGAGATCGCGCATTCTGTTTTTTTGGCTAAATATCCGTAACATAAAAATCCCGAAACATTGTCTACCCCTCGATTTCCGTCGGACATCGCATCAGCCGTGCAATCTGTGGTCGTGGTATGCATGTGACAAGCGAGTTTGCAGCAGGTTCCCGCGTTTCTGTCTGCGATCTGCATGCACAATGTCGGTTTCCGTGGCATGTAAGTTTGTAGCCGGCTTCCGTGTGTTTATCGCATCATAAAACGCAAATCTGCTACATCTGCCGTTTGCGGTATCCTTTCCCGTGACAGAAGTTTGTAACAAATTCCCACATCTTTGTTGCGTTGTGAATGTCATGTGGTCTTTCTTCTTATTTTGGGAGCTTTTTTTTAGATTAATTATGCGTGCGAAGCATATTATGTAGCATACACCTTACTTCAGTGTTTCCTAATTCGCTCTGCGACTTTCCAATTCACACCTCAGCCCTTAAACAAATAATTAAAAAGGTAGCTAATTAGTCATAATTAAATAACTAGGCACACTAAAAAAAGCTTTTACACTTTTCCAAGACACTTGCTAACAATCTACAGTTAGTTTCACTCCCGTGGAGCACTCTGTTTTTTTTTGTAGTTTGGTGCAAGTCATCTGAGACAGCATGTATACAGGATGTTCCTTGTAACTTTAGCAAAGGTTTAAAAATATTTTTGTGTATTTTAAAAAAGACGAAACCAAAGGACTAAGTTTGTTCAGTGTTTGGAGCAAGTTGGGTTATTTTTTGTATCTTGCCCAATTAACGAATTAATTGAGATTAATAATGAACTTTTTACATATTTCATTTGCATCGAAGGTTTCAATGAAAAGTCGTAGAACGTCCTCAGAAACATCCGATTCAGTGGTTTTTATTAAAAAAACAATCTTACGGCTCTTTTTTCTGAATTTCGAAAAAGCCTGCAAATTATGAAAAAAACATGTGACTTTGAGCTTGTACGCCTTGTATTGCAGCGCTTTCAGCCGTGGCTTGAATAAACTAGGACCGCATGCTGAATAGAGCACTGTTGACTGGTGTCCTGTTGTTGACAGGGGCCCTGTTAAAGGAGCTGTGCAACGATTTTAACGTTGAAAGAATTGGCATCTTCTGCTTTTGATATTGTTCACTGTGTCACAAATGACAGCAAACACACCTCCCTTCATCGAAATGTTGTGATTCCGTCGCGTAATAGCGAGGCAAATCTTAGAATATTTCCCGACCTGCAGCCGCGAGCGGCGGCCATGAGAAACAAGCGGTGTGATGTCAGTGGGGAATCTTGTAGAAAGATACCAAGTTGTGCAAATACCTGTTCGATAAAAGGTAACTTTTCCATAAATCTTGTCATTCCAACATATATATAAATGCGTCAAAACCCTGGTATCATTGACAAAACTTTTATTATACGGAGTTTTAGTGGCACCATCTATCCTAGGTCCACAAAACCGCGAACAGCTGCCAGAAGCCGGAGGGAGAGGGGGACAGCGCCGGACAGGCAAGGACGGGTATGGCCGGACGCGGATGAGACTTTCCTCCTTTCACCGTATATTTCGTGGGGCGCCCGCCAGCACGTGGTCACGTGGTCACGCGGTCGCGAGCGGATGAGTTCTCGCTGCTCACTGATGGCTCTAAAGAGAGAACTTTTCCGGAACCCCGCGCCTACTCAAGTGACGTCACTGCGCACGTGACCCGGAAGACGATGTACGAGTTGAGAGGCGGCAAAAACTCGGATCTTTTTCATTTTTTAAAATAAAAACTAGGGTATCCAGGCAAAATCGGTTTTCTGTAGTTCACTGCAGAAGTGTCAGGCATCAACTTCCACAATTATTTAAGCAAAGCCTTGAAATTGTTGCACAGCTCCTTTAACAGATTCATATTTTTTGTTTTATTTTTTTTCATCATTTGCACACTTTTTTTGAAGCCCTGAAAAAGAAATTGTTTTAGAGGTTTCTGGATAAAAACCACTGAACTATATATTTCTGTTAATACTCTACAAATTTGTCATTTGGAACTTTTTCCATATAATCAAAAGATCATTAATCTGAATTAATTAGTTACCGTAAAATACCGGGGGAGCACGCACCCTACTTTCAGTGAGAACTGGGTTAATCTAGACATGGGTGCTTGTCCAGTCAAGTCAGGCGCTTAGCGTATAATTTGCAGAATTCCCAAGTTTGGGAATTCTGCAAGCTTTTTCCCAGGGACGTAGGTGACACAGTGAATTCTGGAAGTAGTGTCCGTAGTCCCCGTCCCATCAGGAGCTCCGCTGGTGATCGGCCGTCTTCAAGAAGAGCTGCTTCGGTAGCTGAGAAGGCCCAATCAGAAGTCCTCTTTGGCACACTCCGTCTTGCGTAAGACGCACTTGACCACTTGAACTCCTTTTTCTGCCAGCCCGTTAGCCCTTGGAAACCTGAGACTTGAAATTGTGCGCCCAAAATCATATTGTGAAGCAAATTCTCTGAACTCTTTCGCAGCGAACTGTGATATGCTGTCTGTGCACACCCCTAGAGGTATGCCAATCTGGGCAAATATTTCCGAGAGCCTATGAACCACCACTGTTGCGGTGGTTTCTGTAAGGTGCACTACTTCTGGGAAATTCGAGTAAGCATCGTAGACGACCAGGTAGTGTTTTCCAACATGTTGGAACAAGACTGCACCTACCCTAGCCAATGGGTGCTCTGGTACGGCGTGGAAAGACAGAGGCTCATCAGGCTGTCGGTATGCAAACCTCTTGCAGGTGTCGCACCTGTCGATGAAATTCATTATATTAGCAGCCATTCCCGGCCATTGCATCAGCTTTCGGGCCTTAGACCTGCTTTTGCCCAACCCAAGATGTCCTTGATGTAGTCACGTGGATTCATACCCCACTTCTGACAGTATGCGCATCAAGCTGAAGAAGCGACTGCACAGCAGCTCGATGTCCAGACCAACAAAGAGGCTGTTTATTGGTGGCGCGCGTGCGCTACAGGGCGCAACACACAAGATAGCTTACAAACGATGAACGATCCGATACAAGCATGACCCTTGGGAAATGCGACACACATCCCCCTTTGGAAAACACTAACACTGACTTCTTCACTTTTCTCTTTTGGCTTTCTCTTTTTCTTCCTCTATATTTTGCTGCCTCTTTTTGACTTTGTTACGGGGTCAGTGTTAGCGGTTCCCTATAATATTTGTACCTCATAGAAAGGCATATGCGCTCCACACACCTGCGAGTTCAGACTCGCCCCAGCATCCTTGCTGCACATTGGCGTCTGCCCTTTGATGTCGCCTCCCTCTCGCCTTTCTCCTTCACCAGTCTTCTTCTTTCTACACGGCGCGCTTCCCTTTCCACTATTTGTCCACATATGGACACTGTCAGCTTTTTCCTGTCATCTGGGTACTAATGCTTATGTATTATTAAAAAAATTGAGCAGTCCTGCGTTAATCCACAGTACAGTCACAGCGATAGCTACAATATGTCATGGCAAAGTCGTTGGGCATTGGCGTCACGTTTACCCACCATGGGGCAGTGGGGTGCGTGATCAGAAGAGTTTGATACAAAATAGACATCTGTGTTGTTCTGAACGCTTTTGTTTTGTTCTATTTTGTTCTTTATGATTTTTTTGTTTTTTTATCCAGAGCACGTGAAAGTGCATCTCCCGGCACTTGACGTTGACAGTGCAACAACGGCAATTTTTTATAGGCTACCTGTTTTTTCAAAGAGCGCGTGCAGTGGGCATTGGGTACTACAAAAAAAAAAAAAAAAAGTTTAGAGTGGGTTATTAACGCCGTGGCGTGGCTCAGTGATAGCATGCCTGGTTCACATGCAACAGACTCGGGTTTGATTCCAGCGGGCAGCGGGCCATTGTTTTCAAGGATTTGGCAACATTGAGGACGGACCCCTACATCGCCAACTACAACATGAACAGTGACAGCATCTACAACTACTACTACTACAACATCAACAATGGATGTAATTTCCAGTGGTGGGAAGAGCCCATAACTATCATTGTATAATGAAACTTGCGCCTCCTGAAGCAAATCTCGGTCTGGGCGTAGGTACGGGGAGCTCCCGAGGCCGGCGTCTGGCACGGCGGGCGTGGTGCGGGGCAGGGGCGGCCCCAACACCATCGGCCGGTACCTGGTGTGCCAGCTGTGCCCGGCCTGCGGGGCCCAGTCCCCTAGAGAGGGGCTCTGCCCCAGCTGCAAGGCCGACCCCGGGTTCGCCGCCCTGGCCCTGGGAGACAGGGTGCACCGGGTGCAGGCCGCCCTGCACGACATACAGCAGGTGAGCTCTATATCCTCTATCCTCCCCACCACCTTTTGGCTGTGTGTTGTAAACACCCGTAGCAGGGCTTCTTCTTTATCTCAAGGAACGCCCATCTGCCTCGAATGACAGCCCCTCTTCGGCAGTGTTACATTTGAGCAGTACAGAGTCCTACAGATTTTATTGACAATAATTTTACACACTAAGGTGGGTTTGGTTTATAGCTGCGCACCAAAGCGTGGCTCAGACCTACAAGAATTCTGTTTAAATGGGGAAAACACTTCCCTTGGGTTAAAAGGACATGAGAGGATCTGGGTGCTTCGAGAAGGAGGCACTCTGGGGAACCCTAAAACTTTTTGACGGTCGGCCAAGGAACCCCTTCTAGTCTTGGCATCAATGCAATAAAGCAGTGCAGAAACCTACGGGCCCTCTAAAGAGTGATCGACATATCAGGGCAGGGAGTGCTTGGCTCATAGCAATGCATCATCGGTGGCCGAGATCCTTTGAAGGAGTGCTTAAACAGAAAACACACTTTAAATTGAGGTGGAGATGGTCAGTGGAACTTGGGAGCTCGGGCGGGAGCTAGTCTGGGGTACTCAGCTTGAGAACCTGTAACTAGAGGTCGGGATGGGGCCAGGCCAAGCCGAAAGCCCGAGCCCAGCCCGAGCCCAGCCCGGCCCGCGTTTTGAGCCCGGGCCGGGTAGCGCAGATTGTTTTCGGACCCAGACTGAGCTCGGGCAGTGGTGTAGCACACTTTCTAAATGTTGAGAAGAAAATGCTAATGCATTGATCATTCAGATTTGACAGAAACGAAAAAGCCAAGTGCAAACTTGCTACGACGCTACTACAACTCTTAGCAATAAAGGAAGCTGTCTTGGACTAAGAAACGCCACAAGAAGATACAGAGAAAAATCCTGGGGATTCCATCAGCATAGTGGGAGAGCTGCCAGCAGGCAAGAAAACGAGGACAATCTGGTCACAGGGGACGGTGCACTTGTATTTTCCTATTTAAATTCTTGAAGAAAGAAATTCAGCCTTTCCACTCTGGTAAAGAAGGAAGAGCAGCAGAGCTGTACAGCGTGCCACCATCTAGGAGCGACGAAGGCAACTAGACAACCGGCAGCTGGTTGGTTGGTTTGGTTGGCGCCGTCGCTCATAGATGGTGGTAACTGTCCAGAGGGTTGTGTCGAGATTTATTTGTTCACGGGCACGAAACTGGAAAAACTAGCCTTTGAAGGGGTCCTGCAAGGACTTTTCTACTGGTTTTTAATTTGCACTGAACCTGAGCGCGCTGAACATAATAACTTAATGAAACTTTTCTTTTCTCGAATTTCGCTTTATTTTAAAAGTTATAGGCAAATTAAAATTAAAAAAACATAACCTCCTTCATGACGTCCTTGGTTCCTTAGTGACCGTGAACTAAAGGAGGGGTAGTGAGCTCAGCGAGCGGTCACGGCTGCCGCACTCCGTGTCGACGGCTCGAGAGGGCACCAATAAGGCATGTTCTGGATAGGCTGTATGAAGCGGGCAGCTAGGGCCGCTTGCATTGCATTTGCTGCACAATTAAACACTAATTCGGCATGACACTTCATTGGCCACGAACATCAGCAAACGCGGGGTAAAGATCAGTTCAGAAAGGGAGCCACTTCGCGCTGCCATACCGCCAAAAGGCCAAACCACAAGCCAAAGCTGCTCGCCGAAGGCCTTGGGAACGCTCGAATCCTCCAGTCGATACGACCACACCGCCGCCGCGTACATCCGGGACCTTTCTACGTTCCTGCTCGTTGGTGCCTGATCCCACTATACCTTTTTAGTATGCACCGCCTTTTCCACCACTTGGTGGCGGGTATGTAGATGGGTCATTTCTTGTTTCCATACTTTATAAACTGCTTTGTTTCTTTTCTGATCTAAAATAGTGAACAAAAACTACTTTTATAAATAACTGAAACGGTATGCACCACTTATATTTTGTACTCCGACTAAAAAGAAGCTTTTAGCGGCTCTTACCAGTAGTGAGTCCAGGACCAACAACGTCACATTTCGCGCACTTTCCACACCGCAGGTCGCCCCCGTAGGTGGAGGAGGTTTCTGCGTCATCCGGTTTAAATATGACGCACTGAAATTTAGTTACTCTCTCTGTGCCCACTGGCTTGCCCGAACCCCAAGAAAGGTGGAAACCGCAAAGAAGGTAGATGCTTAAATATGATTGCAGGGCCCCTTTAACAGCTCTGCTGTAAAAAAAAAAGCCCTTGGCTATTAAAGATAAGCTATGTCCTTTATTTTTGTTTAAGTTCTCGTATTGCAGGTGACTGCAATATGACAGCGTCTTTCATGCAAATTAGGCTAAAGGAATCAAATCCACCAAGACCTTCCCAGGGAAGCCTTTAATTTAAGAGATGAGGCGCACGCCTTGGCCTCTCACCGGGCCGGGCCTGGTCAAGGCCTGATCAGGTAGGCATCCCATTGGACTGGGTCCAGGCCGGGCAATACTAAGAGCCAGCGAGCCCCGGCCGGGTCGGGCCTAAAAACGTGGGCCCGTGCAGTGCTCTACCCGTGACACGTAGAATGGTTTTCAAACTGGGTTCCCTAGAGTACCCTTATGGGTTCCCCAAGCTTGCCCGTTCGTATCCCCAAATGATGTGCTTTCCCTTTTTTAAGCTTTATTTTAGTGGATCTTAGCGGACCAATGTTACCTAACTACTGTAATATCCTAAACATAGGCCCACCCGCGAACTTTGGCCGACCCCTCCCTCTTATGTCAGAATATCTATGGCAAAGGAAATCCTGATATATCGCCCACCCTCCAAGAATAGCAGTTCCAAAGAACTGGGGACACTTAGGCAGACTTTTAACTTAAGAAGTCTAGGGACGCACGCATTCAAGCACCAAACAAGGAAGTCGTGATCGACAAGGCGCCCGTCTTTGCCCTACGCCAAAGTATTTAATGACGACTGCCGGTTTTACAGCTTTTCCAGCATCGCTCTTTGTTGCTTCTTTCGCCCGCTCACTCGCTCACTGGTTGCACCTGCTTAATTTCTCTATTTTCTTGCTGACTTCTTTTTTTTTATTTCATTCATTTTTTTTAATTTACAGGGCAGCAAACCTAATGAAGGGAACATAGCAGTTTTAGAAACAAGGCTTCACGGAACAGGCGTTCACGCTGTATGCCGATTGCTGGTGTTCATCGCGTGTATGCAAGCAACGGACTTCGCAATAGTAAAACATTCTTTCAAATAGGTAGGTGGGGGAATCTCGGAAGATTCGCCCTCCCGCCTTTTTTTCCCAGTTAACTCCTGCGAAAAGGTGGGCATTCGTTCAGGATATTACGGCATACATGGCTTGGACATGACGTCATACAATGAGCACTCTGATGGCCACCAGAAAAGAGGGGAAGAAGAAGCTCTTCTCTTACCGGAACTCTCTTTTGTGTCTCCCAGATTTACCCAGACGTCGCTATTCTCTTCCCGGAAGATTATAGAAGACAAACCCGTCGCTCAAAATTCCTACAAAAGCAGCTTCTCTCTCCCTCTCTTTCACAGTAATCAAAAGTATGCGATGTGACATCACTGCAAGCCATGCATGTGTCAAATACTCCCTAGCATGTTTCTTGTTGTTCACGAGATCTAGAAAGTTGCGTGCCGGTTCACCCTAACAATGCAAAGACCAAGAGGGGCCCCTCCATACCTCGATGGACAGAGAGGAGTGTTCCTCGATATGAAGAAGTTTGAGAACCCATGGCAGTTTCCCAAAACGCTCTTTCACTTCCGACAAGTTGCGTTGCGCCACGTTGACGAGCGGCGTCCACCAATTTCCCCACGTGTTTGCATGCAGACGATCAGTTGTTGGCATTGCTTTTAGCTAGAGCAAAAACACGGCGAGCGGCTTCTTCGATGACAGATCTCAATAAGTGCGACCATAGACGCATTTAGGCCGCAGAAACCGACGCTTACCATGCTTTTTTTTCCTTTCGGGGTCGTCTCGGCAGACGCCACTGCTACCAACAGTTGAGAACTGCATGCTTTGCAAATTTCCATCAAACGGAAAGTCCGCACGCGAGGAAGGTCTTTCACCGCGGCGACAAGGACAACAGGGACAGACGACACCTCTAGGGATGCTGTTTGTCCCTGTTACTTTCTCTTCCACTGTAAAAAGTTTTTCCTCCTTCTGCCCCAGTCCCAGGTTGAAGTGAACATGGTAAACCAAGCTATAGTTTGTGCCGAAACTTTTTGTTTGTGAAACCTGTGGCAATATTTGCTAGTTAATTAACTCACTAAAATGAACTGTCTACGACTAGAATAGTTTGCTCTCGTAATCCCAAGAACCAGGTGGACATGTTAGCAAAGCTACCTCTGAACCTCTGTTTCTACACTTCTTTTAGAGAATTAGAAAACGTTTCGTAACCATTCCAGTAGGCTGCTGTGGGCCAGGAGCACCAAAACCCGAGCCCGATAAAGTTTGCCTTTCAGCGACGCGCGTTCTGGTCTATGAGCCCGTTTCACTATGGTGCCTAGAACGAACGACGTCACCGGGGCCGGCACGTCACACGTTCGGGCGCCACGATCTCGGCAGTCGGTCGTAGAGGTTTCTGCGAAAGAGACGAGCGAACAAGAGTACCACTGCAGTCGCGTCGTCCCAGCTTTTGGCGGCAGGGCTTTAAAACCAAACGGCGCCTACGGCACAACAGGTTTTTACCGTATCTACCTCCCCCACTGCGCCACGGTGTCATTGCAGGAGGCAATGCCACGAACGCAAGGTCATGGGGCATAAATCGAGGGACCACAAATGGGGACACACGTCAACCGGAGACGCTTTGCAGGCACCGTAGTTTCGTGAGCTTCGGTGCACCTTTAGTCGTCTGTATACTCTGTCTCACGACAACCTGGCGAACCGTGAAGGGTGCGGCCCCACGACCCAATAAAAGGGTCAGAGCAAGGCAAGTGACAACACTCCACGGTTGAGGCCACGGAGGTCTTGTTGCCATTGAAGCAACGCCGTCCGTGACAAAAAGTAATTCTAGGCTTCTTTTTCTTTTAGTAGCATCGGCGGTCAGACCCTTCTGACCGCAACAATGCACGACACGGAAGAAAGACGAAAGCACGTTACATTTCGATGATGCTTGGTGCGGATCAACACTTTTCCAAGAACAACGTGGCTTTTGAATGACGTTTGAATGATCACAGTCACGTAATCGACCGCTCCCGCTCACAACATCGCCCTGGCATTAGCACCCGCCTGCAGATTCGCGGGTAAATTGAGGGTACGGTTGTCTCGCGGACCGTTCCCGAAGAGCTCGCCACTCTAGCGGACGGCAATGTTGCAGCAGTGGACATTCATCCGAAGTCGGTTGGTTTCGCAGCAGACGACTCTTGAACAGCAGGCAAGAGCCGGTTTTTCCGGACCTTGCGTTTGGTGCAGTGATACAAACGTTCCCGTGACGTGGTGTCATGTGACTCGCCTGTGCTTGCCCCGAGAGTCTTAATAGTCGCAGGGGCTGTAGCCTCTACAGTTTGCCATGTTATCGTAGAATGGAGGATAGACAACGATGCAATCTTGCTTCCCCTTGCAGATCTGCCAGAGCTGCATGGGCTTCCGCGGAAGCGAGTGCATCTCGACGGACTGCCCGATCCTGTACAAGAAGGCGAGGGTGACGTACGAGGCCAAGCAGGCGCGGGCGTGGCACAACACAAACTCGACTGCCCAAGCCAGAGGCTTTGCCTCCCACCACTAGGCGTAGGGGGGCGGCGTTCCCGGCGGGCAACGTCGGCAGGTCGCTACCTCGGTTCTGCGAGAACCACGACGAGGGCCGACCGAGCGATCGGCCACTTCGTGCGCCACGTCCAGTGCTTACACCGCGACAATGAAGGGATCGGAGGGTGAACGATTGCGCCGAGAGGTCCGACGGAGGTGCGTTGCAAGCACGAAGGAAATCATCCCGGCTCAAGACTCGAAGCGGTTTCTTGTTCTGTGCCTCGCGTAATACGAAGCGGACGGCATCCTCTACCAGTTTGACCTTGTTTCTTTTGTCGTTTAATGGTGTACAGTGAGATGCAACTGTACTTTTGTTTTTGTTTGTGTGTTACAAGCGAGCGTGTTCGAATTCGAGAGCCATCTCGTCGTCGGTGTTTGCGACAGATGCCGACCAAATGGCGTTTTAGCGCCGCGGGTCGTGCCGTGAACTTTTGTCTCATTCTTCGTTCTCCCGATTGTTGGCCGTGTTTGTGGGGAGGGCCTGTTGCAGCCATAGTTGGAGGAGAACGGCCAGTGTTGGTGGCGTGTTATGTTTACGTTACGACGTTCGGAGTATAACTGGCCTGCCAAGGCAGCTGGATCCACAGAATCTCTAAAGTGCCTTCCCAAACATGCTGTTGCACCTATTTAACTAGTCATACCTGCCATGTAAGTCAAAGCGGCTGCATGGTCCGCATGGGGAGGCAGCATTTCCACTGTGCAGTCTGTACAAAGTGATGCTTCAATACTGAATTTTCATCTTTGTTTTCCAAAGTCATGCTCATTCAAGCGAAAAAATTGGCAAAAATGTTTTTTTTTATTATTTAGATTTTTTTGGCTTGTAGACTAAATTGCAACGAAATGCCATTTTGCTGTTTCACATTGCCTAGTCATTGTGGTTGCCCTTGAGTAGTGTGTGGGGAAGCAATGCAAAGGCATTCATTGAATAAAGTTATCCTTTCAAGCACGTGAAGCATGAGTTTTGTCCTTTGATGTAGACCAACCTTGTGGGACAAAATTGTTCATACAAATTCGCACATACGCATTGCTTTAACCCTACAATGCATGGTGTATCACATATGATACAAATCAAAAATATGTTCAAGTCGTCGGATCTGTTGTTGGACATGACACAAATGCATGGTGGATCAGATCTGATACAGACCGCGGGCCATCTAGTGCAGCTAGACGCTCCTAGGTGCCGCCACTGGTCTGTTGTTCGGCCAATACTCCAGTTCAGCATTCGCGCCAATTTTCACGGGAAGTCGTCAACAACGAGAGCGTCTCTGCGCTGCATTCGGTAAGCTTGGCACCTCAAAAAAATATATTTGAGAAGCTTCACTTCTACTTTTCACCGGACAGATGTTTATCTCCGGTTTTGTCGTCAGCAGAGTGTTTTGTACGCGAAACTAGCTTTGTACCAGATATGATACGTTATGCATTTAGGGAAAGTGTTTTGTACTTTTGCTTTACTGCCTGGCATGGCCCGTTTTATTTTATAACGATGATGTACACAGCAGTAGCTTGTGCAGCGCTTTGTTTTCGACAGGGAAAACACTCTGGAATGTGGGGATATTTTGCCAGGCAATGAAAATACCCATTTTTGCCTATATCATCGTGGGCACATTGAAGGAGCCGCATTTGTCGCTTTCTCTACAGATTGCGCTGTGCGCTGTGATGTGTTGCAGATGTGTACTAGTTAGACGATGCATCTACCTGCGCCGTTCTGGTAAATTACAGCATGACATATTTAGAAATTAACTGGTGCGGTCCCTTCAAAGGGCCCCCGCGCTATCGCGGTCGTTCGTTTGTTTTCTTTTCCAAACTCGCGCTATAACTGTTGTTTTTGCTACGCAGTGCAAACATGGCGAATGGCCTCTCGAATGAAGAAATCCAAGATATTCTTTTTCCCGAGGGGAGCGAAGCAAGCGATGATTCAGATTTCGAGGTTGAAGAGGACGAAGATTCCGCCAGCAGCGACGAAGAAGTCCCAGGTGTCTCTCATGTCACTGAAAGCTGTAGTGCCGAAGTGGAGAAACATTTCAGTGGAAAAGAAAAGCGCTCTGTGTCCCCACAACGTGCACAATTTTCCGAGGAAATTCAGCTTTGCCTCCGGAGATATTGAAGCTGGAAACACCGTACCAGTTTTTTCAATATTTTTTTACGGACCAGCTGATAGCATTCATCTCCGAACAGTCCTCACTCTACAGCGTGCAAGTCGACGCTGAAAAGCCAACTGAGGTGACGCCAAGTGATGTCAGAAAGTTCCTGGGAATCTGCATCTACATGTCACTGGTGCACCTGCCGAGTGTTCGAGACTACTGGGACTCGGAGCTCGGAAACAAGACAATATCTTCTGTAATGTCAGTGAACACCTTTGAAAAAATAAGGCGGTTCTTACACTTCTGCAACAACGAAGAAGTGGACCCGTGTAAAGAAACACGAGACAGGCTTTTCAAAATCAGGCCAGTTTTTGAAGCCATGAGAAGAAGATTTCTTTCTGTTCCCATGGAAGAATGTCTGTCACTCGACGATCAAATGTGCAGCACTAAAGCCCGGCATTTCTTGAAGCAGTACATGCCCAGCAAACCCCACAAGTGGGGCTACAAGCTGTTTGTGCTCAGTGGCGTGTCCGGATATGCTTACGTGGAAATCTACACCGGTCAGGAAAACTGTCCGTCAAAAAGGAGACCAGCGGAGCCAGACCTTAGTGCTACTGGAAACATTGTCGTGAGGCTCAGCAGGCAGATCCCAAGGAACGCTAACCACAAGCTTTATTTTGACAATTATTACACTTCACCAAAGGTTATGGTCTACCTTGCAAAACAGGGGATCCTTTCTTTGGGCACCGTAAGGAAAACCCGCATCCCAAACTGCAAGCTCCCCACTGAAAAAGAACTGAAAGGAATGGAAAGGGGGACAACAGTGGAGAATGTTGCCTGCGTTGATGGAGTTGATGTGACCGCGGTCGTCTGGAAAGACAACAAGAGTGTCACGCTCCTTTCTACGTTCGTGGGAGCGGAGCCCAAGGGACAAGTGGAGCGATATGATCGCAAGACAAAAAGCAAGGTCCAAGTTGGATGCCCCAACATAATCGTCCAGTATAACCTCAACAGGGGTGGGGTGGACCTCCTTGATGGACTCATGGGTCGGTACAAGATTGCCATGCGATCGAGGAAGTGGTACTTCAAGCTCTTCTGTCACCTCATTGACCTCACCATGGTGAGCTCCTGGATACTCTACAAAAGAAGTAGAGGCGACTCTGCCGCAACACCTCTTCCAACGTTTCGAAAGGAGGTTGCCCAGTGCCTCGCAAAAGAGGTAGAAATAATAGCCAAACGAGACAGACCATCAGCAGAGCTACAACGCGAAATTGAAGCAAAAAAGAAGAAAGGGCCTGCCACGCACGTTCCTCCACAAGACATCCGACTTGACCAGCTCAGTCACTGGCCTCAGTAGACGGACACAAGACAGCGCTGCAAACTTCCACAGTGCCCGGCGCTCACGTTTGTGAAATGCTACAAGTGTGGCGTCGCTCTTTGCATCAACAAGAAAAAGAATTGCTTTTATGCTTTTCATAACCGATAGTAACCCAAATTCAAGGCGTATCATATATGATACACGCATTTTTTATTGATTTCAAAGGCTAAAAATAAAGCCGGAATTTTTTTAATGATTTTTCATAGTTTCTTTTGGTGCAATAGATTGAGAAATATTTTTTTCAGGAATATATAAAAAGTCAGGCTTTGTAGGGTTAATTGCAGCAGCTGTACCAGGAACTGTTAGTGGGGCTCCTATTTTGCAATGTTCAGCCTAATGATGTTGCCACTCTTCCGCGAGATGGTGTGGACACGGACAACACGTTGCCTACGGTAGAAGAGGAGGAAGGTGTCTGAACAAGGCCAGAAAGGGGGTCAAAAATCCACTCGGGCTTTGCACATCTCCCAAGAGGGAGCAGTGTCGGGTTGGTGCTCCGTGTGCAGGCTACGGATATCCAGATTATAAATCTTGCACAATTTTTTTAGTTCTCTGATACTCCGCAAGACAGTCTATTAAACTTGTGCCATATTAAACAGACTATAGTTAAAAACGCTTGTTCTTATAAGTAGCAAAAGTTATTCTCCAACATGATTGCCTGAAACCTCCCAGAGAATGTCGAAGGCTTGAATAGTCGGACAAGAATTCTCCCCAATTATGTCAGTCTGCCATTCGAAGAGATCCTTAAAGGGGTACGGAAACAAAAAATGAAATGTACAAATTTCCTTCGGAAATGAGTCAAGCATGACGAATAATAATAACTAAATGATAATCGGATGTTTGTATTTTGAACGACTGACTATATTTTTGTTCCAAACTGTGCACTCGAGCAAGTGCTCGAAGAGAAGCGAACGGAGAGTGCGATGCGTCGTGGGATAACCAGTGCAAATAAAAACAAACAAAAAAAAAGGATTCCTTGCATTCGCGACATAGCAAGGCTGGCTTGGTTATGAGCTTTGCCGTTGGCGGCATCAGCGTTGTGGTGGCGTCAACAGCGTCAACGCATTGCAGCTAAGCCGTTCAAAGTACCCATGGGGTGACGAGCGTCTCACGTGTGAGATCAGTCGTGTGCGTCATGTTCGTGTGACCCATTCCAATGGTGCTTCAGGACGATTTCTTTAGGAACATAAATTTTAACGATACAAGTGAGGGTGAGGGCACTGACACCGCCCTCTCCGTATTCATTTCGGAAAGGGTATTTGGAAGTATGCTCAACTTAAACAGTTGAGCGTACTTCAAAGAGCGGCGCTGCTCCGATGTTAGGCGCGGCTACGTAACGATTTCTGCTATGTCGTGACCTATGTAGCAAGATTCGCAACGTTCTTAGATTACCTCCCAACTAATCTTCAGAGAGGTTCACCAGGTGCACATTGAAAGATTGTTCAATTAGCTTTAAATTTAGTTTTCTCGTGCCTTTCAGTGAAAGACTGGTGTTTTTGAGGTTATGCTGCAACATGCAACGCATTTAAACTAGACAATGAGCGCTGGAATTTTGTTTACCTACCTGCCCCTTTAAAGGGGCAATGCAACAATATTTGTACTTTCAGTAAATACAACTTGTTTCTTGATGTTTCTTACAAAACATGCATACCTTTTTTTTTCTCCACGCAATGGCAGTTGTAAAAGAAGTGTTGCGGACGATTGCGTGACGTGATGCGAATGGGCAGCGTCGGCTGGTGCGATATTTTGACGATATTGCGTGGTGCTCCGGCGTTTGCTTCGGCCGTCCCATCCTTGCGCGAAAGGCTTAGAGCGGCGAGCGGACATCAAGCGCTCGCCCACGAGATCCAATTGAGGCAGACTCTCTGGCATCGGCGAGTATGCATACCCGTAGCAGGTGGCGAGATTCAGGATCTTGCCAGCACAAAAACTGCGTAGGCACATAGCACACGCCCTTGAGGCAGTCTGGTCACTGTCCAAGCACGACGACTGAAGAACCTCGCTGCAGGTTGCTGGCAAATACGCTAGGTCTCGCGTAAATCATAATCGCACACAGATAAGTGCGCGCATGCTCTTTTCCTTTTCTGCAACACAACACTTGCCCAGTACAACAAACTCAATACAGCTGACATCGTAAGGCAATATTTAGGAAAACGAGCAGCGTTCGCCTTTTCAGCTCGCAGTGAGAACAAGCGGCCACGTGACTCGGAGCCGATCATATGTCACCAGGTTTTACCAAAGCCACGCGCTGGGGTTGGAAAAGCAGAGGGCACGTGCCGAGTTCCACACACATTCAAGGTTCGGTTATTTCAATTGTCGCAGCAATGGGCACAAACCCAAACTGAATGGTTACGCAGTGCTCGTGTCCGCTGTTATTGAGCCGCATTTATACATTGTCGCTGTGGCAATTGCGAGGCTTGATGACAAAATTCTGGTGATTTCACTGTTGGCAACCCCAGCAATGCAATCCCCACAACTTCGTCATCAAATTTTGCG